CTGGGCTCATTTGGGGCCCATCGAGGTTGGGGTGGGCCGGTGGCTCGGTGTTTGGCGGCGTCACTCCCTGGTGGTGGGGCGAGGCGGCAGCGGTCTACGGACGGTGATCACCTCGTCGGTCGGCGAGTTGCAGCAGGGTGACAGGGACTATCAGGGCCCAAGTGGGCCCGGCCAGGCCATCAAGGCCTGGCAAGTCCTTGTCGTCGCGTTCGGTAGGCTCCACACAGGCGGTGGAGGTTGTCCCCTCCCTCCTGCCGAGTAGTGGTCGCTCATGTGGCCATTGTCTCCTTTCCCTCTACAGTCCTCGTGTTGGCAGCTCCAAAGAGACGGCGAGGATGGTGCGGTAACCGTGGTGGCATAGGCTGGTGGGCGGCAGTGGGTGGTGCACTACAAAGTGCCTGGGTGGTGGTGGTGGTTGTGGATTGGGAGAAATCCCCGGCGGCTTGCCTGGCACTGAAGCGGTGATGCCTGCGGGTGCCGCCGGACCTTCCTGATGGGCGTCGGGTATATCCCTTCCCCACTGCCCTCTACGTACCGGGGGAAACCCTAGCACTTGTTCGGGCAACAGTGGCGGCGGCGTCGCATTCCTTCTTGTAGGTGTTGCTTGGTGCGCGATGCTTCGGAATACTAGAGACGCAGTGGTACTTCTCCGGTGGGTGCAGCGGTTGCCGGTCTTCTTCTCTTCGTCGATCTGCCGGTGTCGGCATTTGTTTCTCTTTTCTTTCTTTTGGTTTTCCTTTTGGGCTTGTTTGTGCTGCGGCCCCAGCGACCTGGATGTATCGGATGGTTGCTTTATATATAAAGCAGGGAAACCCTTTATCGTAAGAGCAATTTTACCTGAACTGATGCTTAGCGACCTGGATGTATCGGATGGTTGCTTTATAATATAAAGCAGGGAAACCCTTTATCGTAAGAGCAATTTTACCTGAACTGATGCTTCTGCAGGCTAGATGTGTAAAAGTAGTAGTTTAATATTTCCTACTAAGTACTATATCATTTTCATGTACAGAGAACTTAAATTTCTGTTTGATGAAGTTTCTAATGTCTAATACGAATATACCATGTTCTTGTTACCTCATGAGTAAATAAAACTGAAGCTTCAACATTAGAGTTCAGAAATGTTATGTGCCGTCGTACATCATCGACAAGCCCACATTAAACAGTCATGCTAGATGGTATGACTGGATCTGAAGTTTGCATCGAGCTGCATGGTATGTTTGTCTTATCGCCTACTTCCATTCAAATCAAAGTCGGTAATCGTCTTGAGGCCTAGATTGCGTGCTAGCTTCTGCATCAGTGTCCTGCATTGAGTCGTGATCGCCACTAAATTTATGAGGAACCAAATGCTACATGTTGGTAAAATTGCATAGGCAACCCAAATAAATTTCAGGTACTTCATATATACCATGTTGGCAAGAGTACATAGATTTTGCCATGGTACTTGAATTGAGTTTTCTAAACTTCTTGTTTCTACCAAAATATTCCAGGCCTTTATCATGCTCACAAGAAAAGAGCTACTCGTTGGATCTTTTACCCATCTATGAGACTACCGCCTGTCTACAAAATGACACATAACCTTGTCATCTGTGTTATTACACTCTTCTTTTCTCCTACTTCATTGGTAATTATATGATATCTCTTATAGATAATTTAATGCACTAATAGCACAGAGTGTAGACTGGCTATATATATGGAGGGAGAATCCACATGCCACCATGTGAATAACCCCTGATCCTCTTTAGGCCATCGGTGGTGATGTTATTCTTTGAGTCGTCTTCCTTGTAGCTGGTCTCGCCGTGAAGGTTGTTCAAAATTGTCATGGATACCTTGTAACTAGGGATCATAGCATCTTGACCTAACGGACAACGTTGCGAGTAGTAGATGCGGTTTCTCTCCACGCCGCCACACATATTCGTTGACACATGCACTGCCTTAGAGAATGTCTCCCCCAAAAACAATGAGTGGTCACCCAAGTCTGTGGCCTCCACCCACTCCTGGTTGTAAAGTGCCGCCTTCTGTCTACCCGTGCAGTTGACAAGGCTAAACACCTTGAAGAAAGGCTCCATATTTGGCAACCACCGGGTCTTCAATGCCATCCCAAGCTTGTCGTGCAGATCAAAGATGTGCCTAGTACTGCTCAAGTAGTCCCTAACACCGTCAATACATTGGATGACTAGCAAGCGTTCCGTAATGACCATCGGGGCACCGTCCTCATTCACACCAATCTCAAACTTGACGATTGTCATATTGTAATGTATGCCGTAGAGCTCGTCATTGCAAAATGCAATGTCCACAAGCCTCGCGTTAGGACATCCTTGTACCGTCCACCCGCTGTTGGGACCACCAACCCTGTAGAGTGCGATGCCACACTTGTATGTTATGGCGGCAATGATACACCGGCGCGAGGTGGGCGGCGCCGAGAAGATAACTCTCAAGATAACGACCAGGCAGGTGGGGCCATGGCGCTGGCTCATGCAGAGGATCGGCGCGTTCTTCTCGGCGAGGCGCACCTCGGCGCCCGAGAAAAGGTTCATGGTCTTGATCAGACCTAGCACTGCCATGGCGACTCAGCCGCCGTCGTGGCCACCGATGATCCGCCTCCCGGCGTCCTCGCGGAGGACCCACAAATGCACCAGGGAACTGTCCTCGAGGCAGTGAAGAGCCTTCCTCCTGTTGCAGTTGCGAGGCAAGAGGAGCAGCCATGGAATCGCCCGCACCGGTGGCGCCGCTCGTGCGGCAGCGCGCCACGACCGACAGACGGCAGCGAAGCGTACGCGGCCATGCGGGGAGGCGAGCATGCTGTAGTTGACCGGGAGGAGATCGTTGGGGACAGTGGCGGAGCCAGGAAAATTCAATGGGGAGGGCCAAACGTGGCTAAACCTAATTGGGGAGGGCCAGTCCATTGAAATACTCTGTTTTGATAGCAAAAAATTCAGTGTTTACACTAGTATTAGTCTTAAACCAGTAACGTTAGGGGGGGCAGGGCCCTGTTGGTCCCCCTGTCTCCGCCACTGGTCGGGGAACGTGGCCGACCAGCACTGGTTCGCCATATGCGCGCGCTTGTTTTCCAGTTCGTCGCAGGCGGCGGCGGCGGCGGCCATCCGCGCGAACATGGATCACGCCCGTCTACGAGTATACCGTATATGTACTACTAGTTTTCTTTTTTTTGCATGGTAATACGTATCTCATTCATATCATTAAGATTAAAATACAAGTCATGTAAGGACCAACATGACAAAACTCAAAAGATAGCAGAACATCTCTGAGCTTGACACCAACGTCCATCAGCTGCCTTCGGCATCACGACAGCAGCCACAAAAAAAATGATGGATCACCTCCTCACCCAGCTCGACGCGGCTCCATCGCTGATATGCAGCTTTGCGGACCTCCAAGGTGGCTCACCAAAAGTGAAGCCCTTACTGTTGAACGAATCAGACCAGGACAACACCCAGGACACGCCATCGAACTCCAGATCTGGCACCCCACCGCGACTAAGACGTCGCAGAAGGAAACCATACCTGCCATCCATGAACCACGAACCCAGCACATGTTCCGTCTTCCAGATGTTGTCGATGCAGACCACAATCTGCATCTGCTCCTGAACTACCTCCCAAGCTCCGCGCCGACGCTGGAGCAAACGCTCGAGGACACAGGTCCACCACCAGGATGCCGTCGCCGCCACACCATCGTTGCTTGAACATTCCGGTTTCCAAATCCATCCCCAACCATAGGACCGATGGCCTTGTCAAGGAAGGATCTGAAGAATCTTTATTCAGCGCTGTCATCGTCGCCGCCGAAACAAAGACGATGAACAGCCTAAGAATCTAAACTACAAGGAAGTAAAAAACGATCCACACGCGTGGATCCGGCGACCCCCCTCACCACCGACGACCGAGGTCACCGGTGGAGGGGAGCCACCGGAGGACGGCACTGGAAGATTGGGTCTCCTGGCGGCGGCTAGAGTTCCAGCCGCTTTGGACAGGAGGAAAACTGCTTCACTACTAGGGTTCTTTTGCTGGG